TCAATGACATGAGACAAAGTATATGTGAACTGCCGTATGAAAAGTGAATTTACTCTGTAAATCTTCACCCAAATCACAATAAATAAAATTAAATTAAAAAAAAAAAAAAAGAGAGATAGATGCCTCCAGCTTCAGCAGGCTGGAAGCAAGAGGCAGAGGTGAAGCCCAAGGTCAAGGGGCCTTCACCCAGGCCCTAGAGCTAGCACTTTGAACTTGGACTTCTAGCCTCTTAAACTGTAAGAGAATAAACTCCTGTTTGTTAAAGCCATTCATTTGGGATATGTCCGTCAGACTGACACTAGTGAAACAAAACAGAATCGACTCAGTGGCAGCTAAAAGCTTCAGTTTTCCCATCTGTAACATTGGACGAAGCCCCTGGGTGGCAGAAGCTGTGATCCGCTGCTAACCAAACGTCGGCCATTCAAACTCACCCAGCAATGTTACAGGAGAAAGGCTTTCCATGAAGACTACAGCCAAGAAAACCCTATGGAGCAGTTCTTCTCTGTAACACACGGGGGCGCCACGACCCAGAATCTACTCATTAAGTTTCCCACAAGCTTTGTGGTCCACCCACCCAAGTCTATTAAAATGAGAGGATGTCAAGCCATTAGATCGCAATTTACTTTTCCATTTACTTTGGATTATATGTAGTTATAAATATTAACAAATAAGACTTAAAAAGGACACCTTTGGGTAGGTCAGACGAAAAGTACAAAAATTGTGTTGTGGGGCTGCAGTTTGAGGATGGTTTCTGCAGCCGTCACATGGTAGCAAAACGGTGTTAAGCAGTGCACGAGTCTGCGTCGACGACAGCCAGAATCCATGCATCGGGAGGTTCACTTCGTTGAAGAAACAAAGGGCAGGGCATGCGCGCGACCCGGGGCTCGGCAGGTTACCTTTTCAGGGTTGGAAGACGGGCCCATCAGGGATTGGTTAGTGGTGTCAGTGGGCGGGGCGGAGACCATGGAGGGAGGTGGATGCAGCGAGTCGGTGACCCCCTGGTTACTGACACCAGACTTTGGAATGAAATTTTTTTGGGCGTCAGATTTCCCCTCTTTGTGGTGGCTGATGGATCAGAAAATGCCAGTTTGGGGTCAAAGGCAGCTCCTCAAAGTGCTTCTTCAACATTGTAGAAACAATGCACCAGGCCTAGAGCAATGGCAGGATCCCTGTGAAGGTTCGGTCCCTCCTAGGGGACCCTCCTGCCTAAGGGCCACCCTCCACCTGGGCTGACTTTGTCTAAGGGCCCTCCTCCCCAGCCCGTTCCTGTGATCAGGATAAAGCCCAGATGGTCACAGCTTGGGGCTGTGGAAGCCTTGGGCTGGGTGCCAAGAGTCCTGGGTTCTTGTCCCAGCTGGGCCTCCACACCCTGGGGTCCAGTAAGGAAATTGTACTAGGTGAAGCTCATGGCCCCACTAGCTTTACCATTCAGCATTTCCATGACTTTATATAGGCTGTGGAGACTCCTTTCTGAACAAGTCCCCCAAAAGGCAAAGCTAGGAAGATATAGCCAGTGCTCACTCAGACCCACGGCGTCTCAGAAACAGACTATCCCATCTCATGCCTCAAGAGGTTCCCTCATTCCAGCTATGTGGAATAAGGAGGAGCCCCTGTCTGGGCCTCCTTGTGCAGCAAGGCCTGGGCCACTGAGGCTGGGAAGGTGGCTGAGTGCCAGGGCACAGGGCACAGGTCCCTTGGGGGCAGCCTGAAGTCGCTCGGTCATTTGAAAGCCAGGTAGAGGTTGAGGCGGCAGAAGCATGACAAGGCCCCAGGTCTGCACCAGGCACCAGAGCTGACAGAGCCGCCACCTGAGTTATCTCTGCTGAGCCCCCAACAGGCCAGGAGGGAGAGGGCCGCGCAGGACTGCCCCCAGACCATCAGAGGATGTGGCAGTCAGAGGACTCGAGCCTGAGGTCTGGTTTGCCCTTCCCAGCTGTGAGACCTTGGCAAATGACTCAGCCTCTCGGAACCTCAGTTTCCTCACCTGTAAAATGGTGATGACAATCAAATCTACCTGTTCGCGTGGTGAAACTTCACTGAGACAATGCATGTGGAACTCTTTAGATGGGGAAACTGAGGCCTCATGAGGGACAGAGGTTGCCAGGAACACTGGGATAGGGCTGATGGGCACTTGGTGGGATTCGAACCATCACTCTAGGCCTCAGATGGTGATGTGCTTTGTGTCTGCAGCAGCAGGTCCAATCCTCACGCTCCTGTGAGCTCCGAGACTGGTCTCGGCATGGGTGCGCAGCAGGCGGGCTATCCCCAGGCAGGCAGCTAGTGAGAGCCTCTCATGTGTGAGCCTGGAAGTGCAGTGTCTGGAGCTCTGGGCTGGGGCCGGGGCCACAGCTCCTGGGCCCATCTGTGCTAGGGCTGGAAGGGCATATGAACACCGTGGGGCTCTATAGCTTACAAACTCCTTGCTTCTGTACTGGTTCATTCAGCAGTCCTGAAGGCCCCTTGTAGGCAGGGATAGGTTGGGGCTTTGATGCCCTCACCCCTTCCCTGGAAACCCTGACTCAGGGTGAGACTGGCCCACATCACAGAATTCCCTGCCCCCCCCCCCCTCCCCTTCACAGCTCCTGCAGGACACAGCCAGTCCCACAGGCCTTCCCAGAAATGAGCCCTGGAAATGCTGTCAAGTACTACTACTAAGAGGGACATCGGTGGCCTCAGCAGGGCCAGGATGTCTTTGGCAACCATCTGTCCTCCTCCACAACCCAGCCTTGAATCTAGATGTTACAGGAATGGTTTGAGGAGGCCAGAGGAAAAACGACGGGAAGGGGAGAGGAGGGTGAGAACAAGGAGGAATTTCCCTTCTTAATATGCACAGGGACCCTTTCTTTTCTCAACTGAGCTGATCTGAAACTTCTGTCGGAGGACGGGGCATCAACGGCAAGGTCCTTCAGAAGGAAAAAGAGAGTAAGGTGGGAAAGCTGGGTCTAGGACTGGACTTGATAGCGCTCTAGCATCCGTTTCTCCGAGGTGCTTCCGCTACGCCTGTCCCCTGCAGCCCCACCACGAGGCCAGGCGGGCCTGGCAGCCAAGGGTGGGGTGGAGCAGAGCCGCCTCCCCAGAGAAAGACCCTGGGTACCACACAGCAACCCTGGCCCAATCACCTTTCTCTCTCTTCCAGGCCCGTGTAGACCATCCATCACCACTGAAGCTGCCCTCCCCCTCTGTCTGCCTGGAGACCTCCACTCACCCTTCAAGACCTTGCTGAACCGAAACAAAAAGCCTGCCTTTCCTTCCAGCAGAGTCAGGACTTCTCATCTGCTGTTGTGGTGTTTTGTTCCCGATTCCCTGAGGGCAGGCTCTGTGTTTCACTGTCCCTAGTAGTTTGCAGGTTCAATGAAGGCAAGCCTTTGACAACTTGCTCACGTTCTCTGGGAGCCTTCTAGAACTCCACCAGACTCCAGGCTCTCAGGCCACCTTTCCTCTATCTTGGTAGTGAAGATACTCCTTTTGGCTCCATCAGAGGACAAACTTCCTTCAGAGTCCTGTCTGGCCCTGCCCACACCTACCCTCCGGGGAGCCCTGAACGCCAGTCCTCTCAATCGGGCCCTGCTATACGCACTGCTGACTGTAGAGGGTCCTGGCCCCCTGGATGGCCCATCCCCTACCCCTCGGTGGGAGCTGAGGCCAAGGTCCTCAGGCCCTGCCACTGGCCCTCTCAGGTCCCAGGGCCTGGCTCTCTGTCCCTCCCGTCCCTTGCAACAGCTGGGCCCTCCATGGCCTCCACACAGGGGCTGAAAGAGCTCTGTGTCAGAGCAGGTGTCCTGCCCTCCCCCAACATGGGGGTGGCGGCCCTTAGTGGCAGCTGAGGAAGACCAAGTCCAGGCGTGCGCAGGCCCGATGAGCAGCGGGTGCCGTGGCAGGGGGGCGGTCAGTCACTGAGCATGGCCCCCGGGAGTTCGTTGGTCAGCGTGTGCCAGCGCTCAATCCGCTTGTCCTTGTTCTTCAGGCAGTCAAACCAGTGCTTCAGGCGCTCGCCCTTGGCGTTGATGCCCAGAACCACGCCGCCTGCAGTGAGGGCAGGAGGCATAGCTCTGGGACCAGCTGCAGCCCCAGTTACCCTGCCCAGATTCCCTTGTCTGGTCTGCACTCTCCCCCTGCCCACCGGGCTTCAGGTATGAAAACTGCTCTGGCCTCCATGCCCTGCCAAGTCAGGACTAGGGTAGGGTGCATGTGCTAAGGCCAACAAATTGGGGTGGAGAAAAGGGAGAAAGAGACAGGGCAACCACTAGGTGCACCAGGAATTTGGGGCGACAAGGGCTTAGTCATGGGGCAGGCTGCCCAGTAGCCCAAGGCACTGATCGCTTATCCTTGCTCCACTAGACTGCTGTGTGACTCTTGAGCAGGCCCCTTTTCCTCTCTGGGCCTTAGTCTCCTCCATTGTAACACAGAGTCAGGCTAGACAATGTCTGAGGCCCCTCATGGTCTGAAGGTGAGTGGCCCATCCTCAGCTCTCCCCAGAGGCCAGCAAGGGGGGTCTTGTGGTCTGATCTGAAGCCACTGTCCTTTGCTGAACCCTGGAAGGGCATATGGATAACCACTGTGTCCTCTTACCAATGAAGTCGTTGGATTTTCCAATGTCGTAATCCCAGACGGTGACCTCCAGGGTCTTCTTGGCCAGGTCTCCATGCTTAATCTCGTAACAGAACTCCTGGGAGCCAAAAGAGGGGTATTAGGGCAAATGCCACAGAGCCTGAAACTCTGCAGGGGGCCAGGAGGGGCTTGCGCTGTGGGGAGGGCATGAGCCAAGGGAGGGAAGGTCAGTGCATGGTGGTGGGTGATGGGTGGCTCTCTCAGAGTACCAGCATGTCTGCCTGAGAGCTCAGCTGGGGTCCTTGTGGCCTCCTCCCTCCAGCCCACCTGCCCTTTTGTTGCTGACTCTACTCTCAAGATTTCCATGAGCCTCCAAACGGCCAAATCCAATGCACGCTCGATAGTCCTTAGTGCCCTTGACCTCTCTTGAGTCTAACTCTGCTGATTACTCTCTTTGTTTTTCTTCAAATTGCAGATGTTGCAGCCAGAAGTTTATTCCCTATTGAAATCAATACATTGAGACAAAGCTAGTAAGTGGCACTATTTTTCTCCCCTGCACACTAAGAGTAGATGGAGGCAGCCCAGCTTCACTCTGGCACCTTGTTCTGTAATCAGCACTTAATAACCAAGCAACCAACTCATCATTAACTGAGAATTCAGGGTAAACAGACATCTCTTGACCTCCAGTAATAATAGTAATACTGACTATCAGTTATCAATTCACTCTCTGTGAGCTGGGCATTCTTCATCCCAGAGAATACAATTAATTCCACTCCCCTGGTAGGACCTCCAACCAACTCTGAGA